AAACAGGTAAGTACACTGCTCTTTACATGTATCAATTAAATGCCGGTTTCTTGTTTATATAACATTGTAAAAACATTCAAATGTTCAGCCCTCAGTCCGCTTGACTGCTAAGCTGCCAACTTCACACCGCTATGCCACTGGGCCGCCAACTTCACGTCGCTTGGCCATTGAGTCGCTAAGCCGCCAACTTAACAAATCATTAGATTAAATACATTTAAAACCAGAAAAGATTGACTGACTTCATTGATTTTTTATTACTTTTGTAAACGGTTTACTCTTTATCAGCGGATCTGCAGAAACTGGTGACAACTTTAAGCCAAAAAATGGATAAGATTGAACACGCACAGGGACAGATTCACACAGAAACTCTCCTAAATACGAACAGATTGAATGAAACAAGTAAGTACGCCGCTCTTTATATGTATCAATTAATATTCCACTTCAACTATTACATAAATTAGCTCAAAATTATCTTTACTATCAGTTGCATCAATGTTATAAAAACAACTTCAGGCTCTTTCTGTAAAAAAAATGGGTGTGTAACTGTGACGGTTGCACTCAAATATAAAAGAAAGAGGTAGTTATCAGATTTTTGATCTTGTATGGCAAACATTATTTTGGGAACATAAGGACAATGGCTGTACTTTACATTAAAAAAGAAGAAAGAACAACAACAACTAATATGAAATTGGGTAAAAATGACTTGTTATAATTTTTCAATATCAATTTTCAGACGTGTCGGTCGGATTTGCTGTATCAAACCCAGATAATTCCTCCGATAGAACTGCTCTTAAGTTCAGGAAGGTGATATACAATTCTGGCGACGACTATAAAGTGTCCTCAGGTGTGTTCACTTGTAAATATCCAGGACTCTACTTCTTCACAGCCACTCTTATCAGAAGCCCGAGTTTACTTGACAGCGTATGTTTTATTTCTGTCAACAGCATTGAACAGATAGAAGTAAGCATTGGTGGTACTGATGTCAACAGTGGATATCAGTCAGGATCAGGGTCATTTATTTATCGTTTAAAGGCAGGAGATATTGTTGTTCCATCTGATTGCGAGCAATATTTTCTAGTTTCACTGGATTTCGTGTTTCATATTAATTGACTAGTCGCAGTCACCTAATTACACTAAGGTATAAGATGTATAGTTTACACATTTTGCAAATGGCGTTTAAAGTTTTATATTTATTTTATAAACTTAACTATATTCTAGACATAAATACAAAAACAGAATACAAAGGTTTACCATCTTGTTTGAAATAGGTTGACAATTAAAGTTCAACAGTTCAAGTATTATATCTTTTTTATGTTTATTATAGTAATGAACGCTGAAATGGCTCGTTTAAAACAGAGCAATGTTATAGTTATAGCCAGTGATATATCCTCGTAACTAACGAGCTTCATATACTATAACTGTTTCATTGCAATGGCATAATGTATTCTATTTCTTGTAACAGAAATAAATAAATAAATAAATAAATTGATTAATTAATCGTTAGCTACATTACATCTATGTATGGAGTTTTTTCAAGTTGTTTTCTCTGCTGCGAAAAATGATATACAAAATACATCAAATATTACAGGCGGATTGTAAACTGTTACCAATGTTGATTCAAGATTAAAGGTTTTTTCAGCGGAAATAATTTATTCAGCGCATATAACTTTTGGTTAAATGAGAGTAAATTTCATTTAATTAATTATCTTTGTTTATATTTTTCATTGTATTTATTTTATTTTGTTTGGTTTGATTTGATTTTATTGATAACATTTTTTGCTACTGGGAATGTTCGTTACTCCTGTCCCGTTGGAGCTTATGTGGAAAAAAAACAACACTGATATATACTAGGTGCGAAACAATTTCAACTGCTATATAGCAGTCGAGTTTTTGTCCTGTATGGATCAATGAAAATAATATAATTGTACTTCTTTATATCAATACAGTATTCAAAAGCTCATTGAAGTGTACTGAGTATAATGCCTTAGTAAGAACAAAGAAAACGTTTGAAACCATGCGATAACATCAACAATTATAATAATAATAACAATCATCATCATTATAATAATCATTAAAATTATTATAATAATAATGATAAAAATAGTAGTAATAATAATAAGACGACGAAAAACACTGACCTAAAGACACGAAATGCTCTATGTTATTATATTAGGAAAACCAATGAAATCCACATTTATTAATTTGGTAATGTATCACTGGTCAAACATTGTTGCTATATATTCCGTAATTGTTAAGTCGTTGTAGTCGACAACTATTTGATTTATTACCCTCAAAGTTCATATGTTTGGTTGAATTTAAAATATGTCAGCCTACATTACCAATAACAAGTGCTTTGCTAATCCATGCAAACGTGACAAATTGCTATTGGGCTACGATCACTTCTGGGAAATAATGATGTAATAAAGTGCTGTTTTATTCTGTTTTATTTCAGATATCTTTTTTATCACGAATACTTTGCAGGACATTTTATGTCATTGGAAAAGAAATGTAGTGTCAATTAGTTTCAATGATAAAACGTTATAAATAAACTTTTTACAGCCTTTCCCGTGCAAATTAAACATGTTTTCTGCATTCTAATGACGGCATATCTTTCTCAAAAAAGAATCAGAATAAATTAAAGGGTCATGATAATTGACGGTGTAAATGCGCTAATATTTGGAACTTTTTTATGGCAGTTTATTGTCATCATAAAAAGTGTCCACTTCTAAACTAAGGAAATAAGATATGAAATCGTGTTAATTTATTACATTAATACGACCATCTATAATTGTAAACATGACAAAAATCTAATGGCATATTTAAAGAAAAAAATATATCTCGAACAATTTTCACGTTAAAATATCAGCGATTTCCATCGGCATTGCTTTTGGGTTCATCCCAGTTCTTATTACGAGCACTTGATAAACAGGAAATATATACACATTATTTACACAGTCTAAACTTAATACATGTTAAATGAAGCCTTGTTTCGTGCAAAAGGGCAATGATTTTTTTCTTGAAATTGTAACAGAACATAACAAAACAAAAGGCTTCTGAGTAATAAAACAAGAACATTTTTTCAGGCTGAATGGGAGTTTAATCATATTCATCAAATCTTATTTTGGAAAAAGAGGATAGGTTTTCCTTTGAGAATGTTCCAAGACCTATATCATTCCACAAGAATGACAACGCATCAATTTTTTTTAATGAGAAAAACTATAAAATCTAGAAAGATACACATCCTTTTAAGACATGTTCTTTTATCTTAATGTGTGAATATTATCATATTTTCTTCACGACAATCAGTATTTCTTTATGGTCTCATAAGTTAGAAAATCAAATGATACAGAAAGAAAAATATTTCAGGAAAACATTGAAAGGTATTCTAAAACAGACATTAAGATTGAGAAAAGGGCGGTACTGTTAAGTCCAAGCTACACTCCACGCCCTTAAAAACTTCACTCGATAGTTTAAGAAAATACATTTTTTACTATGATACCATAAATAAAGTTTTCATATAGCTTATTATAGATAAATGAATGTGCTTCTATTTGATTTGATTAAAATATTAACCGCAACACTAAATAATTCAGGCAAGAAATGAAGATTACGTAAATTAAACACTCTTTTTATTATTGCCATTTCTAAGATATAGTAATGAATTGTTTTTTTTTTATCTCAAAGGTTGTGTCCTTTGCTAAATAAGCATTATTTATTTTATAACATTTTCGCTCAAAGCTAAATGGAAAGTCATGCGATTTTATAACTGTTCTTCTTTATTTAATCTCGATATTTGGTGTTCTTATCATGCTTTACCTTTTTGTGTTTTTTCTTCGTTTTATCATGTTATTTTTCAAAAGTGGGTAGTTCCTGACAATTTGCAACGTTAGATATCACGGATGAAGGACATATGTTTTTTAACAAACGTATACTTGTGATCATGATTAACAAGATTTTCGTAATTAATCTTAATTAATAACAAGCCAGCAGCATTGTCATCAACATACAGGTTAAAGCCGTCCAAATTCACATAAAATATTTTTTCTAATATAGAGAACTCAAATATTTTGCTCCGATAACTATTTGTTTAAATGTTCAATTATATTCACATCAAACAGTTTTACTTCAACTTGATACATTTTTAAATCATTAGGTTATCATTTAAAAAGATTCCACTTAAATGTTTCATTTTAAGGACAACATGTTTCAAACAGATTGTAATTATATCTGTGTAAAAACTGTAAATAAAACCTTTTTTTGACAACTTAAAGCGATACAATATAAATATTCATAACTGATACATAGTTTGCCAACTAGTATTCAAAGTTTTATAACAAAACGTTTCCGTCCAACTTTAATCACAAGCAGTAAAAGCCTTTTTACATATCTTAACAGCTGAAATTGACAATAGATTAATTAGTTATTTATCTCTAAATAACTTAGCTGGACCATAATGATTATACTTATATCAAAAACATATCTCTTTAATAGCAAGTACTATATTTTGCCCATGTATAAAAGAACACGAGAAATCATGTACTTAGACATAAATTGATAGGACTTCTTGCGTTCAAATTGTTACATGTAAGCGTACTTGACTACCAGCATTCTTGTTATGCAAAGGTTTAATAAATTGAACTAAATAGTACAGTAAAAAGGAATTGAAACTTATTTGTTTTTATAATCTGAATCGCTGTTTAAATAAAAACTTGAGGAAAACAACAGCTTCATAATGAAATGATCCGTTTTAATGGTAAATTCGCAAACTGGGAAACGCGGCCACAACTATATACATTGTAAACACAATTATAACAATTTCAGCTTTCTATAAATTCGACTCATGGCTCTCTGAAATACGATTTTTGTATAGAGTTTACAAAATATATAACTCATGAAAAACGCTTGACACCTGATATTAGCGACAAGCACTTGCTCGGAAATAGCGATAAATCTGACTAAAAAAACACTTGACAATTTTAATCCAATTTACACACCTGGGCCCGTATTCAATATACATCTTAAGATTTTTCTTATCCTTACGTGATATTTTCCTTAACTAAAGATAAGATATTTCTTATCCTTAAATAGTACTTAAAAAGCTACTTAAGTAATTTCTTAGCTAAAATTTTTCTTAAGGTTAAGAATTTTCTTATTTCGTTTGAGAAAATTCTTAAGTACGTTGCCAGGCTATTCTGGTTTTTCCATCGCTTAAAATAGTAACGGAAATGAGAATTATGCGCGCGCAGCGTCTCATTCAACATGGCGGAGGTAGCAGACGTAAAGAAACGCCGAAACGCCAATTTTTCGGCGAATGACTGCGTTTTATTGGCCAATATCATGGGGCAGTCATCCGGTTTGAACGAGAATTTGACGAACTACCAGTACATTCGTCACAAGTTTAACAGTAGTAAGTATTTTGCCAATATTACCATGAAATGTCACATTTGACAGATGGCGGGAGTTGAAGGGAGATAACTTGAATTGTTTACATAAGTTATGACCATTACCAGTTGTTTTAAGAGAATAAAAAACGCGTCCCTTAACTTCTGTTTAAAACTGATTCCAAAAAAAAATCATTTCTGTAAGTAGTATGAAATTACCCGTAAGTTATTATATAATTAAGTGGCTTGATAATGTTGACCCGGATAAATCTTTTGTGTTTCAATGATAACTGTATACCCAACTGTACACGCGGACATACATGTACATCCAGCTATTTAAACCAAGTGTGAATAAAACACCTAAGAGAAATATATTTCCTATTAGATGCATTGACCAGTGTAATAATTTAGATGAAAACATTGCTCTCAATGAAAGTGTTTTGACCTCAACCGGAGCTGGCTAAGTAAAAGATTTAATACAAGTGACTTTTACTGAAGTTATCTTTGATAATACTGTATAGCAGGAACATACAAGCCATCTTGGCTTAAATGCTCAGAAGAAGGACAGGTAAAGGTATATACAGCTGTAGTAAGGCTAGTCCATGCATACTTGAAGTTAAATCGTATTGACTAGCCGTCATTTTTCATTGAAAATTAAAAGAGGTAATATGACAGGGTCCAACTGTTATCTGAATAACATTTTATACATATTAACATGTTGCATTTCTAATACTAATAATATTTTAATAGTGGTCAGGTTCTATTAGAATCAATGCTTTCATTATATGGAGACCAAACAACAGTCATCAAATTTAGCACTAGCCCATGGCAAGTAAAATTTAGTTAAATATATAGTATAATAAATTCATAACTGGAAGCAATCACAAATTTACAAGAGGAGTAAATTCTCAGGGATCAGTAGATTTGTATCAGTCACTATAAAGATGATGGACTAAGCAACCACAACTAAGAAATACAATTTCAATCAAATTGCTTTTATTATTTGAGATTAGTCCCCATCATTTATAATTTAAGATCAGGGCTGCAGATAACATGCATATTTGCGTTATTACCCAATTAAAATGTCTAAAAAACCCAATAGAAATAATAACTAAGGGTAAGAAAAAGTAAATGAATTGGTTCAATTCTTATTTATACAAACTACATTTGAACTGGTGCGTAATGACGAAAATTATTACTTAACGCGTACATCAGGCAGATCATACTGTTTCAGACTGTTTTAATCTTTAAATTATATAAGGCAACTCAAAAATTTTGGGTAAAATGCATGAACTTGTACTTTATAACCCAAATTGGTTAGAGGGGGTAGGGTAAAAAATACAGAAATAACTCAAAGAAAATAGAAAAAACCCAATAGATCACAAAATAAGGGGTAATTACCCAATATACACAAAATGTTATCTGTAGCCCTGTAAGATGTATACTAATTAAATGATATTTATTTCTATTAAGAACAACTCTAGTTATTATTTAATTTAGAATATAGAATCTACTTCTGAGATACATGTATTTTAGTTGATTACGATAAATGTAAATGTTTGTTTTTTGAGGACTAAGTCCATTTTATGGTTCCAAGGCTAAGCCTTGAAGTACAGATCAGAGTAGGTATAGTACCTAAGCTAAAAAACATGATGGTGTTGTTGGTTTTCACTCCAAATCACAGCAGTTAAAGCCACATTGAATTTACCATAGGAGTCGGTTCAGCCACCACATCATTCCTGGGCAAGCTGTCAAGCAGTTTACCAGTACTATTTTTCTTCACTTTTGCAAGGAACTTGTAATACTTCTGTACATGCAAGAGCAGAGGTAGAGTGCAAATGATGGTAGAAAGGATTTCATGATCAATCAGATTCATTAAGTAACTATAGTTTTCTTATCTTTATCCAGGCATAACATCCTCATCGAAAAAGAAAAACTGGACCTTAATATCAGAGAAATTCAACAGTATGGCAGAGGTCAGCAGGCAATGTGAGGATTTGATAAAAAAATGGGATAATCTGGTTCAAACTCACAGAAGCAAGTACCAAGACTTCCAAAGAGAACAGTCTCTGACAGGTTATATATATTTATATTATATACATGTATATCATGTTTTATTATTCTAAATTACAGTAGTGTTATGTTCAACATGACTAACTCCATTATCTATGCCTTAAAGGCACATTATCCCTCTTATTCTTTAGAAATGTCAAACATGTGTTTAATAGTAGATTTAGAGCATGCTAGATGTTTAACAAATGAAAAAAGTAGCACTCCCCGAACATGCAGTAATGTGTCATAAAGATAGCAAAATGTAAATCAAGTAGCATTTTGACTTCCATACAAAATACTTATACACTACAATAATACCGATTGCCAACAGAACTATAGATTCATAAAATAGTCCATGTTTATGGCAAATAAGTATTACTTTGAAAACACACAAGATACAAAAATTCAAAAGATTTTCAGGAAAAAAAAGATAGCATTTCAGAGGCATAATGGGCCTTTAAAATAAAAAAATATAAACAATGTGCATATTTGCACCAATTCTAAGTGTAAACCTGCTTTATTGCTTTTTCAGTCTCTTAACAAAATTTGTACCATAATTATTTTTTCTGTATCTAAAAATTGGAAGACTTAGTGCTTATTTTTTCCTTTTTTATTGATTGATAGGGATGACAGAATGTTTATTTGTTTAATAAATTTAATATATTTAAGCACAAAAATGTTTTGGTTTTTTTTTGTTTAAAAATCAGTTGTGGTGAAATTCTTTTTGTTTTTCCATTGTGACAATTCAAATTGGGACATATTAGGGTCATATTGCACACTGACATTTTAAATAAACTTTCAGGTGGTGGACCATGCCCAGGAACATTATCTGCTGTGACAGAAGCCATAATGGATGTTATTGGAAGAGCTTCGGAAAATATAGTAGGAGTTCCTGGCTCTTCCAAAAATGACACTTCATTGATCATGCTTGAAAGGTGATTTTTAATATAATAATTTAATATTTATATTATATTACAAAACTTAAATTGTACATGTCTCCAACTACAAAATTTATAGCTTAGACTTGTTACTAACAAGAGATATTGTTTAATCAAGTGACTTAAATGATGAGCTATCAAATGCTAAATTTATCAACAACAAATCAAGTAAGTTAAAGACAAGTCAAGTGTAAAATGAAATTAAACATTAATCATTCCTTCTTCTTTAAAGTTAATTGTTGTTTAGTTACACAATTTTTATTAGTATACAAAAAAAGATAATGGTGATAATTTACTTATCTTCACTTTTATATTAGCTTTAGACAAAAATTCTTTCACGAGGCTAGAAATTTATAAATGTCATGTACATACAACAATGAACAATTGGACAGGGTAGATTTTTTTTTTCAAATCAACTCAAACCAATTTGCAGTCATTTTCAAATATATAAATATTTACTTTTTGATTGACTGCATTAAAAAAATTTACTGTTAGTAAGTAATGTTCCATTTGAATGTTTATAAACATTTAAATTTTGATTTTTCTGCACAAACTGTTTGTTAGAAAGTAACATTACTTTTGAATGACTATATCCCCTTTATCTTTTTAGACTGGCACGGGAGACAGCACAGACTAAAACAACAGAAGAAAATGAAATGTAATGTATTCAATTTTAAATGCTTATAATTCATATTGTACATTTGTTTGTTTTGCAATTCAGATTGGAATAGGTATCATATCATAAGAGTGAACACCAGATAAAATATTTTAGGTCTTACATGTTATGCAAACATTTTTACTCTTTATTTCATGCTTTCTAAAAATCAAATTCAGACATTTTTTGCTGGTTTATTCTGTATTATATATTAACATCATGCATTCCTCTTCAAGAAGTCACACTAACAGTTTTAAAAGATAATTCTATAAAATTTCTCAAAATGTTTATGCTTTTATTATTATTTATTATTATTTATATATTTACTTGCTTCTCTTAAAGAAGCCAATTTTTACAATTGCAATAATTGCAACAGTGTTGATTCCAGTTGCTATTTCTATTTAGGTGTGGTACAATTTGTCCATCCACATTTTAATAAAATATAGTCTGCCTGACTACAGTAATAAATATATATTAATTGTAATTTTAATGTGAAGAAAAAAATCACTGTCCAATAAAATGCATGAAATTAAATTTATTTTAAAAATATGAGATGTGGAAATGATATAAATTCAAACAATTGCCATTCAGTTATTTTACATGTTTGAAATTTAAAATTTACTACAGCAGTCTCTTTTAAACACAGGGAAAATAAACATTCTTATATTCTTAGACATAAGATTCATTTATCAAGTGCAACATAAATGTCTAAAACAGGTTTACATCATTCAGTCCATCTGAACTCCTTTGATCAATATCTTACAGAATTACAGAATTTGTGTTTCCTGACAACTTTACTGACAGTAATGAATTGTTAGAGGTTCCACTACATACAACAACCAAACGAAGCATGACATCAATTTCCTGCATTAAGTGCCAGTGTCCAGAATGTAAACACACAAGACAGCTGAAAAAGAAGAAGCTAGAACTTCAAATTAAATACTTCTCCAAAATAGAACAATAAAAACTATGGATTTTTATACATTCACATGTGCATGTATTAATTGTTAGTTCCCTTTCTATTAACTGGACGGGACTTTAGGTTATTCTCTCCGTCCATCTGTCAGTTGGTCTGTGTAAACATTTTTTTTAATTTAGTTACTGACAAGCACCTGGGCATTTGTGTTTAAACTGACCACAATTTTTCTCTGTTACACTCACATTATGTATGACAATGTTCATAAGTCTAGCATTTTTTTCAAGAGTTATCTCCCCTTTACTTTAAAAACTTTGCTTTTGAAAATGTTATATTCTGGTGAGAACCAGGGATGTCTAAAGATTTACCATCAGAGTGTCTGACAATCTGTCTGTCTGTACTTTTCTAGACATTTTTTCCTGAGATCACTTTTAAATAATTTGGAACTTTTCCAACAAATTTATTTAAGATAGAGAAAAGTTGAAACATTTGTGAAACATTATTATTCATCCTGAAAAAATGTTATCTTTTGATTATCTGTTGTATAAACATAATTTCCTTACTGGACAGCAATAATTAACACATTTCTATGATACAAACTAAGAACTTAAAAAATTTTTGAAAGTAAAATTATTTAATTTTCACTATTTTTTGTTGTAATTTGGCTTTAACTTGGTTATTGATATATGTGTTATCTTCATACTTGGACAAAACAACAGTGGCTCTTGTTATGATAAAAATTGTCAATATAATTACTTACAAGTTTAAAAGTATGTGTGTACTACATAATCCCTGAATCTCAAACCATTGAGAAAAGCAGCATGGTTCCCATTACATGTAAAATCTTGAGGGGAAGTGTCATCATCATTATCATCATTTGTATCATCTTGTGATGGCATCTGGATGTTAAGCTTCTTACAGATATTGTGACACACAGCACATGCAAGGACTACCCTGTATAATAGACATAGGACAAGAGTTAAATTTAAACTTTTTTTTCCCAAAAAGTCTGTCTTTGGTTCATCCTTACCTGATTTTTGATTTACTAAATTAACATACTACTCATAACAGTTTTAAGTATCTTTTATAGTAATTACATAAATATGTTTTTAATTATTAGGTTTTTAATTGGTTGACATGCAATTTTAGTGATAAGGTGTATATTGCTTACATCTGTTCATATACAGTCATACTTTATGCAAAACATCAAATTCATTAATAAAAAAAACATGCCCCTTATTTTGGTGAAAATGCTTTTTTTTTTTCTTCAAATAATAGTAGTAATGTTAATATAATTACTTTTAAAAAAGAATAAATGTAAGAATCTTGACTTTGATAGGGACATTGTTTACGGCATGTTGTTTATAGTTCTTAAATTCTAGTTCTTGGTCAAAGGCCTATAATTTTATTGTTTAAAGTTATGTAGACTTTTTATATATTATACATTTATATTGAAAGCTGTTATATAACAGAGGGTTATATTGCCAAGAACCATTTATGTATGGCATTATAACATTTAAACATTTTTACCACCAATTTTTATTACAGCAATCATATTTACAGGTGAAAAATTTAAAAAAAAGTCAATTTATTGTTCATAAAACTATGATCAAATGTATAAATATTACTGTCTCATGGGTTTGAATCAAATCTGGCAGTTTATGAGATATATATGATTAATTTTCAGGTAGCTACTTCACAATTGTTTTAAGGTACAAATTTGTTGCAAGAAATTGTTATGCATATATGTTAAATATATATATTATGACATTGTTCAAATATTGAAGTTTAGGCTTTTTATGTCTGTAGATTAAAACCAGAAGTAAGTCAAAACTATTTGTTCATAAATTCTTGTTTATCCTTGTAATTAATAGCCAAATAAGAAAATGTTAACTTGGCCTAATAAAAATGCATTTGAGTGAATTTTCTAGACTGTTTTCAAAAGATATTAGATTCAATACTTTCTTATTATAAATGTGGTTAAAAGTCCATACTTGCAAACTTTTTCAGGTGAAAATGCAATTTCTCCATGCAACACACTGAATCTCCTCTTCAACTGTCCTATACCACGTTCGACCTTGGCTCTTGTAATTTTATGACTTCTGGATTGTCAATGCAAATTGAACAATTACTTTAATTATAACATACTGAACTTTCATTTAAATTGAATGTTATCTTTATATAGAAATTATAACTTTCAAGAATAGGACACCATAACATCATTATTTTTATGTATGATATCATTACATTCAACATGAATATATATCTTTGTTTTCAGAATGATTTAAATATAAAAAAAAATAATTATTGTCTTATATTAAACTATGTTTCTGGCTTCAATTCAAAGCTACTAAGAAATAAAATTATAATATTTAAATAATCCAGTATATTTACCTGTTATATGAACTTTCACTACCAGGCTGTGGATTAAGGAAAGGTGTAAGAAGCCATCTCTTAGATGGGTAGCCTGAGTCTCCTAGAAGGTAGTATTGTCCAGCAGGCATATGTCCACCTTCAAATATAGTGAAGAGACCACTTTGCTGCAGAATTCTACTGTCGTGTACAGAACCAGGCCATTTTGACACAACATCTATGATGCGGTCAAAAGGGTCAAAGACAAGCTGCACATTAAGGGAATGAAAACCCTTTCTGTTCACATACTGCTCCTCATTCATTGAAGGTGCCCTTACTCTTACATGAGTGCAGTCTATAACTCCAACTACTTTAGGAAACCTTGCCAAACCATAAAATTCCTGTTGATTTTTCCTCAGTTGATCTGGATCTATTGGAAACTGAATAAAACTACTAACAATGTCTGGACTGCTTAATGCAGATATTACTTCATTGATGACTCTGCTTACAGTTGGTTGACTAACCCCATGAATATCAGCATCGTTTAGCTGAATCGGTCCCGTAGCCAAATATCTTAAAGTAATCAAAATTTTGTCTCTCACAGACAGGCTATTATTCCTTCTTGCCAGGGGAGTAATCTTGTTTTGCAAAATTCTTTCTAAATAATTAATCCCTTCTTTGTCCAATCTGTATCTATTTATCACATTTATGTTTGACAAGGTTTTAACATAGTCTGTTTGTCATTTGTTTAGAAAGCTTAAATGTTATAATTTTATTTATTTTTAAATTTTCTATTTCATGCATGATTGATGAGAAACATTATTAATTATTCTAAGATGCTTCATATAATTCCTCTTTTCATAGATATTGGGAAGTTGTATGCAATATTATTTGATATATGCTTAACAATAGGAAGGAATGCTTAAGTAAAATAGGGTGAGATAAATCAGTCTAAATACATGACACAGATATGAGTGCTGTTCAGTGATCATGTTTCAAGTTTGTATCTTTAATAGTTGCAGAGATATGCAAAACTTGCATGTAAAATTTAACCAAGAAAAGGAGATTTTTTTATTACAAAAGGGAGCATAATTCAGTCAAAACCCATGGCAGAGTAATGGATCTTGAGATGTGACCTTCAATTATGACCCTAAGTACATGTGTAAAGTTTCAAATAAATATCTTTGATAGTTCTCAAGACCTTTTTCCTTTAACCAAAATTTTTAAGTTTAAAATTTATAAAAAGGGCATAATTCTGTAAATATTGTAGGCAAAGTTATCCAACTTGTCAATCTGATTTAAATTTTCACCATAAATAAGTATTGTAACTTTCAATTAAATATCTCAAGCAATAATTTAGATATTTGACTTTACAAAAAACTTTAACCAACACAGACGCCAAAGCGAATGCAATAGCTCTCCATATTATTCGAATAGTTGAGCTAAAAACTGGTATTTCACAAATTATCAATTTGATATTTTTCAATCCTGTTATATTCAGTTAAATACCAGCGTGCACAGTACTCAATGATGTGACATGGTAAATGACATCTCTTTGTATTATTAATTGTCGTGCTTTTCATTTAGTATTAGGTTAAAATGTCTTTTTAAACATTTCTTAGCATATAATAAAAAGAAAATTTGATTAGTTTCGTGCAAGATCGAAATTTATCGTATACTTATAAATGAAATATTGAGAAATAATGATGAAATATATGTGTAATTTTATTTACTGCATTTTCACTGAAAGTAATTTTCACTGCAATGAAACATGTTTTCTGTATTTCAACTGGTGTCTTATCTGGCTAGCTTTCTCTAAATTCAGCCAATACACAACATTTAAGTTGAAGTTTATCAATTTGTCATGTCTAAAGTGATTAAAAGTATAAATAAACAGAAAATTCAAGTTTTATCTGTAAATACAGGATTTATTTTCATCTTGTGATATGAAAATTATCATATTTCATTTGTAGCATCAGCCACTTGGGTTCAATATATCCAGATCTTACACTGAACTAAACAAATATCCTCTGTATAATCTGAGACGCTAGGCAAAGTTATATTTGTAAACAACAATTTATATAGGGTCAAATTATATGTAACTAATAAAGTGTCGACATATAGAGAAGAATTATCTGATGACTAGACAATACCAGTTCGCAGGGAAGTTTTGTCACCTTTGTATACATTACTGTGGTCTAAGCCAGTAAAGACTTTGAAGCAAGGTCTTGTTTCATAATAATAATGCCAGCATTTAAGTAACTGGTGAATAATTTATATGGGTGCAACAACAAAGCGCATTACTATGCAATTTTTTATTTATTAATTTATTTACTGATTGTTTCTATTATCTTGTTCTCAGCACATACATGTATACTACACATTTCATATGGAATCATTAACATATTATAAATATAAAAATGTTCAATTTTATAGTTTCATGTGATGCTTTAAATAGTGGATTATTTAATAAGAGAAACTCTTTCAACTCGGTTCAAACTCAGATGTATGTGACTGTCAGGGGCCTTTTTGAACAATACTGAAATGCAATAATGAAATGTTCAGTTCATAAGTACATAGAAATCTTGTATTGATTTTCTTTAAAATTCCTTTTAACTAAACTGGCCATTCATTGAATGTTTCCCTAAACCATGTCTTTTGTGCACAGCAAGCTTTTCACTGTTTGCTTGACGTGAAGAGTGTCCATCCAATAGTGGAACTTTTAGATGCAAGAATTCACAAAAGTACAACATCCAGTGACTGCGAACCTGAAATAACAAAAATACACAATCATCATATACCACTTAAAATGTTGTTTAAATTACTAGTATATATAGTCTGCATGAACTCAATATAATTATTATTTAATGGATGCAGATAAAGTAATCATAAACAGCAATTTTGTTGAATACATTACATACTATCATAATTCATATGTGAGCCGCGTCACGACAAAACCAACATAATGGGTTGGCGCAGTCTGATCCATCCTGTTCGCTTACAAACATTATTACAAATAGAAAAACAGATAGTACACTTCATGGATCCTGATCAGACTGCTCGGATGCGCAGGCTGGTCTAGATCCATGCTGATCGCAAACCCATATGTTGGTTTTGTCTTGACACAACTCATATTTTTATCAACTGTTTGTATTACATTGATATTTGATATAACTATAAGACTAAGAAATGCACCAATATAATGGAGTATGTACACATGTTTATACACAAATGCACGAAAGAATATCACGTATGGCATTCTCCTGGATAAGACCCTGCTGTTTATTTCAGGGACGAAACTTGTACATAATACTAAATAGTACTACTGTACATTAACATATTAAAGAAAGCAGATGAAGATTTTATCTGGTTTAGACACTTGGGTCTTTCCCATGATATAGTGATATTTTAGTCATGTAGCATAAAGGTTACAAACCTGTAAATCCTAGAAATATCAGCGGTGTTGTTCATGCTGTATACAATAAAAGTAATCCACAAATTGCCCATTTTTTATATCAGCTTCTATATGAAGAATCCGTTTGAAGATGTCCTTTTATGCAGTCTCATCATCGTTTTTATTTTACGAGTTTAACACTTCGTTATTTATAACTACACACTAATGTTGGTCAGCTTGTGGATGGAGCCATTATACACAGCTTGTTTAGTCTACTTGTAAACTCGCGAATTCCGGTTACAATTATCATACGCAGGCACAACAAAACATATGAGCATTTAGACAATGCTATGGTATATCTTGAGTCTGTAAATTATTTGTCTTCTAAATGTTCGCCTCCAATAGTGTCAATATTTTTGGTAAATTGAGCTTAAATGATGTAAACATTCGACCTGTGACGCACGAATTTTACGGAAACATACATCGATTATCGCCCTTCAAATTAGCAAATAAGCATACAAAATCATTTTTGAACGAAAAATATTGCAATTAACACGCATGTACAGCGTAAAAATATTTACCTGCCCGAAAAAATGGCGTTTTTGATGATGCAAACAAAATTTCTTATTTCTAAGAGCAAAGTTAAGGTTGCTATGTTGCTTCCTTAAAGTTAAGGAAGGAAAAGCGTATATTTAAGGAAAAACTTAAGATAAGATGTTTATTAAATATCACTTAAGATTTTTCTTAGAAAAAACGCTGATTTTAAGATTTTCTTATCTTATAAGGTCATATTTAAGGATAAGATATACTTAAGATGTATATTGAATACGGACCCTGGAATATGATGAAAGAACCATGCATTGAATCAGATAGTCAAAAATAGATTATGTTTACTAAAAATATTATGTTAAATCACGTTTTTATCAAGTAAAGACGTATATTACAAACCGATCTGAATAGTCAAATAAAGAAAATATAATTGTATGTGTTTGATATTCCTTTGGAGATCAACATTGCACAAGACCACGATGAATATTTTAAGAAATGAATAAAAATAATACATCCCTATGAACATTTGCGTCCTATCTACATGCGCTACATATTTATCTTACCATGTTTTCATTAACTTACATTTTGTCAGACTGAAAACGTATTAAATATTTCCGATAGGACTTTCTTATTGGATAAGAAGATCGTTTGAATCAAAACAATAATTGAAAACATGATGTTAAGGTCATAATTAGCTTATAACGGGCATTTGGGGTCATATAACTGATTTTCCAATTAAAATTGTTTTTGTTGTAGGTGCTACAATTCTCTATTTTGGAAATTAACACCCTTTTAAAAGTGAGTACGAAACATGTAAGCTTTCTTAATTTGATAAGCATAATTATAAATAAACAAAAAACAATATCGGACATCATATTTAATTCAACTTTCGAGCAGAAAAGCAATAATTTACATGCATTTTTATAATATCTTAAATCATTCTCGTTTTGAACTACACGTATATAGGTCTAATTATAACGGGACTGGCTAGTCAGTTTCTTTGACATGTTGTTAAATGATATATTGTTTACAAGTTATGATTGCAGTATCTGCACATTTGGTTTAGGGTAAATTAGAATACTGTTTTTGTACATAGCAAAACTAAAGTGTGTATAAGATAATATGCGTTCACTGTCTTGTCATGTCTATCTTCAACTCAGTAGATATTTCCTTCAAATAGGTGTTCATTGGAAAAGTATTTTAGTCATCATAAAATACAACCTTTACAACAAATGTCAGATATAAAGCTTCATACATTTTTGCAGGTATGATTTACAACGATGATGACAAATGTCAGCCGCCAAATTCAGTGTCTCTTAATCCGTATCCTATCTCATAAAAGACCATGTTTATTCATTAGAAATTGATTCTGAAAATTATGTTGAATTGTTATACTCTAACAATGCTAGACAAAGAAAGTCGCTTTCAATTGTACACGATTCAACTTATATGCTATTACAGATAACACGGAAATTCCTGTAACCTATCATGAGATGAATGACAGGATTCTACAAAATACTTGCACTTTTTCTCTCTCTTATTTTTTTTTGTGGGGGGGATTACCGAGCTTTTATGTGTTTCAACTGTGAAAATGTTTCACAGGTCGTTAGTAGAGAAATGTACTATTTGACACTTAGCCGGAAATTATAAGAGGTGATACCAATTATAGCTATTGTATATCAATTATTTTAAAGGCTTTGTTCTTTTTTTTTTTTTTGACAGACATATGTTTAACAGCATGACTTCGGACCAGTGATTGATTAGGATGCATATTGATAGCTTGAAGGCATCATCTAAAAATGTACACACAAGGACACACTTGATTAATATCTGATCGTAACGGAAATAACTTATTAGTTTTCATCCACTTTTTACCAAGAGTATGACTATCATTCGAGACAATGTTAATTTTTTAATGTTTCATCTTTGTTCTCAATACGTCATCGACTCATTACAGTGAATGGTTTAATCTTCATGTTCTTCTTGAACGAACAAAAGAGTGTATACAAACAATATAATGTTTGTTACTTATGAATTATATTACACTTATTAATAACGATACAATGAGATAAAGGACATTCGAGTTTGTTTTGTTTTTTGTTGTTTTTTGTTGTTGTTTTTTTTTCTTTGGTTTTGATTGTTTCCATAATGTTTTTTTATTGTTTTTTTTTTGTGTGTGTGTGTGTTTGATTGTTTTTTCTTGTTTTATGTTGTTATGTCATGCGCTCTATTTATCTATTTTCTATATATTAAAGATACCCGTTGGCCTGTATGCTGTCTTAAAAAATAAATAATGAAGATTTCTTTTGTCAAACATATGTCTCAAACCTTTGGATGTTAAAAGGCCATTACGGTACTTACGGCATTATTTTTTCTTTGTTCCTTTTTCTAAGCATCATCCCTCAAGTGACTTTGAATTAAACTGAATGCCTGAAGCCATATTTAGCAGATTATTCTTAACATACCTAACTGTATTATTGTATAACGAATGTGTTCCTTAAATCTTGCCTTTATACCGTATTGACCTTTTTTGCCATGCCAGCTATTAATCAAGCATATGTTGTAGATAAACATACAAACCAGTATCGAAATAGGTTTAAAAGCAGATTGATGGTAAAAGATTTCAAAATAATCATTAGTTTTTACAGATTATTTTAATAGACTATGAACTGCTAGGATTTGTTTCATGCGATAATTTATTATACAGATCCTGATTTGTTTGTGCAAAAATGTTCAAAATGAAAATCAGACACGTAGTTATATAATAACAAAGGCCGTAGTCATGAGCTCGAGTT